ATAAAAACCAACAATATTTTAATCTTTTTCTTTCCCCTAACTGTGAGAGATCATTACTTGATGTATAGAACCTAGAAATGACAAAGCATGTACTGTTTGATACTCTCTAAAGCTTCAAAGCCAAATCCAACTTCTTCTTCTGCGAACCTTCTGAACCATCCTCGTCCATGTTTTCTAAATCAATGAAGTCGACCTTCTTGATGGGTTTCTCCAACATGTCGATAAATGGCCTGGTGGTTTGCTCAGTTGTTGTTTCAGCCACCTCTTGAATGCTTCTTTTCTGGGATCGCTGACGAGTTGCACCGCCTCTGGTGCTGTTCTTTGTGGTGGCGGATGAAAACCCTAGTTGCGGTGGCTGGAGTGAACCAGCAGGAGCACTTGCGGGAACATAAGTGAGCAAACTAGGGTTCCTTCTCGGCGGAGGGGCCGGTGGAGTCACCATCGTCGACGACGGCCCAGGATGCGGTTGGCTGGTCCAGCTGAACGTCTGGTGGTGGTTATTGGCAACATTAATTCTATTATTGCCTTGTTGCACCAAAGGAAGTGCATTAAAATCGTTTCTACTGACTTTCTGCATCAAAGATCGAGCATCAAAGCCGTTTCGATTGACTTCTGGCACCCGAGGCCGGTTTTGCGAAACGTTTCGGTTGACTTCCGGTGCCAGAGGCCGAGTTCCGGAAACGTTTCTATTAACCCGTTGCAGATTACTGGGGAGTGAAGATGATGAAGAAGTCCTGATAGATAAGTTATTGGGCATTACAGCGAGTTGATGTGAGCGAAAAGCTTGATCTCTTGATGAAGCTCTGGGTTGGGTTTGATGGCTATTGAAGTTAATAACTTCTTGACGAGCCAAATGAGAATCAACATGGGCTATGAGAGCTTCCCTGTTTGGGAAAACTTGGCTGCAAAATCGGCAAGCAATTTGTGCATCATTGTGAGGGTAATGATTATTCTTAGAGTTCCAGCCCATATTGGCCATGGAAATGAACAAGGAAGTATAAAGACTTTTAGAGAGAGACTTTTTGATGTGAGCATTTGGTGTGAGAGATTATGATCCTTATATAATACATGAAATATATTGCACATTAATTACTTTGCATATAATGGCGGCTTGGTCATTTACGGCCTTGATAGCTATCTGCTATTGTGTATATTTTTTTCTTGGCTCGTTTCGGATACAAAATCAAACATTATGAATTTCCATAACAAAATGTTTGACCCTATTTAATTCTTGCTATAAAATTAATTGGAGGGAAGTAATTAAGAGAAAAGAAATTAAATGTAACACTTATATTTGGAAATGGAGGCCAGGGGGATTGTAATTTACTGTGTGCACTGTCCCTGGTGCTATAGTGCATTAAAGGTTGTGTGTAAAGGCAATAATATGGAACTTTCCAAAATTTAATGAAAAAGACATAAAGTTTAGCAAGTATTAATTTGGTTTATTTACTCTCTGATTTGACTGTATCTGTTTTTCTCGTTTTTGGGAACTCAATTTTTTTTTTCTATGAATAATATAATTTCAAGAAACAATAATCCATTTATATTTTTTTTCACTCTGCGGTTAAATTTAGCTTGATTCCCTTCCACCCACAATTAATATTTTAGAAACATATGGGGAAAAATAAAAATCTACCTTACAATTTGAAAGAAGATCAAGACCATACGTGCACATGTAATTATAGTAAAATCCTCTTCTACGGTTGTGCCTTTACAACTCATCCAATATAATTTCTTCAACTAAAAAGTTTTAACCTTCTAAATAATATTTGATGAAGGAAAGCTTTTTCCCTTTTTATTTTTCTTTATTTGATAAACAGGAAAGTTGTTTTCTTGTATATGAATATGTGATGATGCAAATCTATCGCTTTCTGAATGAATGGGATTTCGTCTACACTTTCCTTTATAGCATTTATGATGTACATATACAATTTTTTCCCTTATTTTTAACTTTATAAATGCATAATATCTATGTAACCAGATTTTGTTCCATATAGAAAGGGAAACAGTGGAGGATCTCTCGTAATAAATAATAATAAATGAAAATAATAATCTAATGAATTTTAAAATAATTATGGATGTTGTGTGATTTCTGCCGAATATGCAAGAAGAAGTTTCTTTTTAATGTGCATGCATTTATTTGTTTTCACATATTTTATTTTATGATAAAGACGAGTATATATTATTGTGATCAAATGATAGCAACTCTCATAGATTTTCTTCCAATTACAACATTTGAACCCATTCCTTTTTTTGCCAACAACATTTGAACCCATTCAATTGTTATCACTTATTAGTTATTAGTATTATTTTTTTTTGGCCAACCACTTATTAGTATTCCAGATCTTTGATATAACTGGCAAATATCTATAAAGTGTAAATTTTTGGCAAAAAAAGTGTAAATTTATTTTATCCAAGGTGGCTAGTGTCGGTATAAAATAGAGGCACCTAGTCTTAAAAAATATTTATGTCTTTATAAGTTATTTTTAGCATATTTTATACAGATTAAAAAAAAACCTTAGATTTCATTAACTCTCATTTAAAATTTAACAACTTTTTAACTCTATCCTTATTTAATATATATTATACGTCATGTAAACAAAATCAACACATTAATAAATGAGAGGTAAAATTATACATCTATGCAAAAAATGTCTCTTAGTACTATATAAAAAGAACAAAAACATGTCTTCTATCTCTGACCTTACGAATAAGACCAGACAGTATGTTCTTTGCATTTTTATCTGCATGCTTGAAAACTTGTCAATGTCAGTTGGGCAAAAAAATTTGTAAATGTTGATCATAAACAATAACACAATTTGAAAAAATAAGCCTACTTTTTATGATAGTTTGTTCTTTTTGCCATATTGCATGATATTTTTTATGCAGATACATAAAGTATTAAAAGTGTTATATAATGTGGACCGGAGTGATAAATACTTGCAGCGTATTAATTAGTCATTTGACTGCCATTTATTGAAGCCCTTTGGAAAAAAACGCGAGACATTAATTCTTGACCCGTTTTTAAAAGCCGGAAGGGCCTCGAGGAAAGATGAAAATGATAAATCGTCACCATCCGGCGTCCCATTCAAATCGCTCCTCCGTTTGATTCTACTCCCTGATATGCTTATCATAAATTTTGAATTTAAATAATTAATTTGCATGTAATAAAAAATTAGTTAAAAATAATAAATAAGCATAATTAAAGATAAAATTAAAAAAAATCATTAAATATTGAGACAAGCTTAAATTAAAATTTATAAAATCAAATACACATCTCTCCAAATTTACGACTTAAAAATAGAATGGAGGAGTAATTTGAATCTTAATTAAAATGAAATGCATATACTGTAATTATAAGAGAAGGACATTTGGGTTTCCTATAAAAAAATTATTCACATTTTGACCTCTAATTTTAAAAAAGGTTGAGAATATAATAGACAAAAGTGCCCTTTAGACCATTTAATTTTATAGAAATTTCATTGTTATTTCTTATTTTTATAAAATAAAATTAAACAACCTCAAGAGTAAAATTACTCTTTTGATTTTATTTATAGAATAGAGAAAGAAGACATTTTTTGATCAAATATATGGGGTACTAAAAGAAAATTTTTAAATGGATGTACAATTTTATCTTTAATTTATTATTGTGTTGACTTTATTTATATGAGATATAATGTATATTAAATAGAGATAAAGTTGAAAAGTTGTTAAATTTTAAATAAGAGTTAACGAAATTTAAGGTTTTTCTTAGTTTATATTAAATATGTTAAAAGTGACTTATAAATAGAATCAGAAAAGTAGACTTGTATATGGTTATTAATCTCAAGAGATTTATTGTTTTAAGGAATCGAACTGTTAATAATTTTCTATAAGCAATTTAAACTAAAGTATATATTTGGTTTTTTAACTTTATGTAAGATTTCAGTCTGCTCCTTTAACTTTAAAAAACATATAAAAAGTATACTTTTAGTTATTTAACTCTAAAATTATTAATTTTAAATGATGATTTTTTGTAACAATCGTAATCATTTTGAATATTACACTTACTATGTTAGCATTATATAATATTTTATCAGCATTCAGGAATTTAGTATCATTATTTTTTGTTAACATTTTTAAGGTTAGAGGTCTAAAAATTTACTTTTTAAAGTTAAAGGACCAAAATAAAACCTTGTGTAAAGTTAAAGGATTAAAAATATACTTTAACTAGTAGTTTGTAATTAGAATTTGTCTTTCAAAAAATAGTTGTAAATGCATTTGAATCTTGGTTATATGCATATACTTCCTGTATATGTACAAAAGATACTTCTGGCAAAAAAAAAATCACTAGTATTTAATATAAGAACTACTTAGAGAATTAAGTTTGATTTTAAATATAAAATCACAATCTATTCCGTGTTCAAAGGTATAGCTTTTTTTTCCTCCAAAATATTTTTATTGGTTGTAAGGGGTTTTTACTAAGGAGTGGTCCCAATACACATAATTAAATATAATAATTTAGAGAGGCTAACATATATTTGTTACAATTAACCAACTTAACTAATTTTTTTTATATATTTTTAAATTAATTATTTAATTCTTATATTAACGACTATAAGTACTACAATTTTTGAAGTAAGCATAATCTTATTTGCAAGATCCCTTTAAAAATATTTAAAATTATAACTAATTTTTTCCAGTTTTTATTTATATTAATTATATATTATATTACTTTATTAATTATTTATACTTTTTTCCTATACACTCTTTCTTTTCAAGGGTAATCTTTTCACTCAAAAAATAGCGGTATTTTTTAAGAATGTATATACATAGGATGGAAGTGTATATTATTTATGAATATATTTACTGAAATGCTATGACTTTTGTGAAAAGTCAATTTATCAATAATTAGAAATTGTCATTTTCCAAGTTTTTTCATAAGAAAAATCCTTTCTTGACTCGAGCCAAATCGCTTAAAAACTGAAAGCTTAAATTAAAAGCGTGGGTTAATGTGTTTTCCTTTTCCCCCATTTTCATAAAGCTCTTGATTGGGAAAAAACGCTAAAGTAGCATATGATCGGTTGATGCTGAATTTGTCGTATCGGGAAATTCTCATTGAATTGAGTTAGATCCTCCTTCGATCGCTCCTATGAATTCCGATTCCTCCCGAGCCCCTTTGATTCCTTCTCCTCCTCCACAGAATCCAAAAGCCAAGCACAGAGACTTCTTTACCCATCTCGAAGCTTACCTTGCTAAGAGAGATGGCGTTGACAAGCTACTCAAAATTTCCAGATACGCTTCCAAGGTTATCCTCGCCTCCTCCGTTATTCAGGGTAATCCATCCCTATCTCTACGTCTCAAGAGCTTCGACTCCAGTGTTGGGGTTAGTCGAAAAGCCTTCAGGATTGGTAAGTTTGTTCAGGACCTGAACGCTTTGAGAAATGCTCATTCTGATTCCAAACAGGATTGGGTTCTCTCTATAATTGCCTATGGTGGTGAAGGCTTGTACTACTTCGTTGAACAGTTCATTTGGCTGGCGAAATCAGGTCTAATCGACAGTAAACATTCACGTAATTTGCAGAAAATCAGTGCTTGGGCTGAGTTTATTGGATACTTCGGTAGTATTGCTTTGAAGCTGAGGGAGTTGAGAAATATTTGTGATGACGAGGAATGCTTGAAATCGAGTATTGAATCTGCGACGGGTTCAGGGTGTAAAGAAGATGAGGCGAAGTTAAACAGATTAAGGGAAAAGAAGTTGTTGAAGAAGCTCTCTTTAATTCAAGATGTGGCTGATGGTTTTATGGCATTGGATGATATATTGGATGGGAGAGGACCATTATCTAGGCCATTATTTGTGTCTTCAGCGGGACTGCTGTCGGCACTCATTAGCACTCACAAGAATTGGGTTTCTTGCTAAAATTAGTGGACACTTCTCCAAGGATTGAATTGTCCTGTAACCAGGGCCTTAGTAGTTCTAATAAGCTTTTCACTTGAAAATGTCAGCTGAATGTATGATTTTCACTATAAGTAAAAGTGCTGTGGTTCTTTGTCCTTACATTTATTTCTGACCAATCAAATTGGCAAATGTATTGATGGGCTTCCATTCTTCAAAAGGGTTTCTTTTTGAAAACCATATTGCTCTCACAATTCATATATACTAACTTTACTATGTTCACAGCCCTTGCCATGTTTTTCATGTGCTAATTAATAATTCATTTAGTTTTGCTGAGACGACAATAAGAATTATCCGTGTTTAAGATACTTATGTATACACTATGTTTAGGAATTACCCATCTATTTTTTGTTTTGGCCTTTTTGCTGGGATTGGTTCTTGTTTGTGTATTCTCATCTTAGACTCGATCAACTTCACTTTTTGTAGCTTGCTCAAAGGTACTCATCTGCATGGGAGCTATATGCGTCTTTTCTGCATATCCGTTCTGTTAACCATACAGGTAGCATGTGATCACTGTAACAAACGTGAGAAGATACGTAGCCAAGGGTAGCCTTCAGTACTCTTTGGTTATGTGGGGAAGTCAAATGCAGTATGCTGACTGGCGATGTGCTGGAGTAAGAGGCTTCTGAGTCAGGTGCGGTTTGTTATATGTGCTGTTTGAGTTGCTCTGGATGCTTCGTTTCCTCTGTTTAAAAGTTGAGATTGTTGAACCCAAGACTGGCTTGTTTCTTGCGGTTCTAGAGTTGGTTACCAACGTTAAGATTGTGGTGTTTAATAAAGAGGTCTGTGGCCATACTGATCTGAAAATTCTGGTGTTAGATTTCTTCTATTGATCAATACACGCTCTTTTGTGTTTTTCATCTTTTGATAGTTCTACTTCATCTTTTTACTTCTATGGATGTTTATGTACTCCTATGATTAATCAGTAGTAGTAAATATATCGTGTGTTCTTTATTATATTTTCTTGGTTTGGAATTTTTAATCTTGTTAATGTTGTCATTTGTTCTATTGCCTATTGGTATGAATATAAACCCATTATATAACTGAGTTTCTGCTATTATAGATATTTCCTTTCTACCATGTCATGAAAGAGTTTTGGGTTTTTAAATCATGTATAATATTACTTCTAGTCCTTAATATAAGAACTCGTTTGATTTTTATTTTGACTCTAAATATAAAATCCTAATCTACTCTATCTCTCATATTTATACAATTTTTTTCAAGATAGTCTTTATAATAATGGTAGTTATAGCCAATACACTTGACTGGCAAGGATATTTTAAGAAAGACGACACCTATTTATTACAAATAACTAATTTAACTAGTTTTTTTAATCTACTCAGATTAGCTAACTAGTCCTTATATTTGAAGCTGATATTGATCGGCAGGGCATTGAAATGGAACTGCCTAGGGATGATTTACTGTGATATAGATATTATTGTATCACTTTCACCTTATACTACCTTGTGCAAACTCACTTCCGGAAGGCTAATTTGTTCTACTTCGCGTTCTTTCCTCTGTTTTTGATATTTTAAAGCTGAAAAGTTGTCCTTCAGTTTCCGGGGCATATTTGTACAAATTCTTTATTATCCGTCTGTATTTTGTTCTCTTCTCAGTTTCCGGGGCATATTTGTACAAATTCTTTATTATCCGTCTGTATTTTGTTCTCTTATGGAATAAATAGTTGAAACAGTTAGGACCACAGCTGGGAGCTATATATTCTCAGGATTCATGCCCATGGAAACACGTAGTATCCTGGAGGAAAAGCATGTCACTAGAGCTTTTATTGGCAGAACTGGAGAAAACGCTTTGAAGGCATATAAGCTTGGGAACGCATCATATGGGACAGCATTTTTGAAAATTGGAGCACAAAACCAAAACCACAAATAGCATTGCAACACAAGGATATAAATTACAAACCCAATTTTCTTCCCCTTTTCTTTATTTTCTTGACTTGCATTGGGAGCAAACATACTCGCTTTCAGTTTCATTTATGCGCATAATAATTTCAATTAATTCAATATGTACATGAGAGGAGTTTAAAAAAAAATGCTAATAATCTGAAATATAATCCATCTAAAGGACAGAGCAGAACATAACATACAAAAGATTTGGTGGGCTACAGTCTACACCACAAGGTCCGCGACGAAAATTGAACATTTGGGCAAAAATTATTGGTTGAGGCGTTATGATTATCCGAAGTATAACACTTTTGATGTGGTGACATCCTATGATCGGTGAGTAACCCCTACCTCGGGAGTATAAAAGAAGAAAAAAAACTAGACAAGATGAACCCGTGAAAATTTTACTTGTACCCCTTATCCTCTGCATCTTTTGATTTTTTTGCCGTTCGCACATTTGACTCCGGCATGGGACCGGGAGGGATCAAGATCTCCCGTGATCATAAAAAACGATAACTGCAGAATTCGCCCAGTATCAGAGCTTGGATTTAGTGAACTGTCAAGTTTGGCTAATTTTGGCGTCATTCTCCGCTTGGAACTTACAACCTCGAATGACATTTTAAGCTTAGGAATCTTAGTATTATACTGAGGATCTGATTGTCGATGTCATTGTCTGAATGATATTTGATATTTGCAGGTCATGTATCGAGATTCTGGTTGTAAAAAATTCAATCTTTTGGGACTTCGTTGCTATCCTGCCCAATTCTTTAGGTATCAAGTTTACAAGAAAAGCAGTAGAATGTGGGGAACGCGTTTTTTTTTTTTTTTTTGCAACAAATGACTGAAAATGATATTGGAAGATATGCAAATAGTATATATACACAAGAGGCAAACAAAACAAGTCACATAGGATCTACCACAAAAAAAAAACAAGTCACATAGGAATGGGTCATCATTCACTGTCCCTCCATACTTCTCGCAGAAGCTCATATCTAACAAAATTACAACCTTCATTTACTACTGGAAACTTGTTGGATACAAATGAATGTTCATCAATCCCAATAGCAGATAGGGGTGAGTCTAAATCATCAAGCTCATCATCACTAGTGTAGGATTTTTTAACCACTGACGATCCACTTCTTCGTAGAGATTGGGTGCCCATTTCTTGTGTTATGCCTGAAACAGAGGTTGCCGGAGGTGGTGCATAGGATGTAGGGGCAGCGATATGTGGAATGCTGGTGATAGAACCTTCGTCGTCCTCAATATCCTAAAACCAACACAAACACCATAAAGATGGTTAACATTAATTTCCTCTTACGTTTTACTTCCTTTTTGGGATACAAGAGGCTTAAATTTGGAGTTCTTTGTACGACATTAGTAACACAATACAGCATCAATACACAGACGTAGCAAAAGTTCATGACTACCCTAAGTTTAGTGAATCCCACATCGGTGAGAAGGGTGCGTGAGTATAAATAAGCATGACATTCCCCTTGAATACCATTCATGTTGAGTGCTTTTCTTATATGATGTTTGTTAAAGAAATGGCTAGTGAGTTGTTAGATGAGTCTCAGGAAAGAAAAAAAAAACGTGATTAGATATTCTAGTATCCCGGGCCATTTTGACTAACAGACTAACATGCATTAAATGTTATTTTTAGGGACTAACTGACATTCAGAGACTAAAGCTAACTAGACCTAACAAAGTTATTTAGTTAACAATTCATTTTTCATTGCTGAACAGTCAATAATTCATGGGTTACGCTTAAGTTAGTGCTTATATCACAGAGAGAGCAAATAAATGTTAACCAACCTACCTCAGTATTCAGGCTCTCAAGAACAGCATCAGGGATGGGCCCCGGGCAGAACTCGTCTGGGACAAAATTGTTGAGAACCCTCTTTATCAATGGTACGCCAAATGTAGGGCATACCTACAGTAGTGTTTAGATGATAAATACCAAATGATAAAGTACTAATGCTCGAAACATGAGGCACAAGACTAAAACTTGATTTAACCTCTTTTCTTTGAGACACGTCAGCAAGCATTTCGAATGGAAGCATCATTAGATCACTCAGTGAATTAAGGAGATAGAAAGCCTTGAAGGATGTCTCACACTCTGGGCTCCCGTTGCCAACATCTTCATTCCGATTTTCAGGAGAGTCACTATCATCAATATCAAATAAATCTGAGAGCCATCTTGACCAGTTCCCTATCTGAGTAAAATCGAAAGTTAGAAACAGAGGAATGATGGTTAATCAAAGGAATACACTGCCAATCCTTGATCAGAGTAAGAGCAAATAGTAACATTATTCTACTTCATGTCTTAATACCCCAAAAAAAAAAACGAAAAGAAAGAGAGAGATAAAGAGAAGCCTACAAAAAAGAAAAGAAATAATGAAATACACTCATGCACTAAGGCAAAGAGGCTCAAAATGAACAGGATTATTATAACCTTAGGACAAAGTCTTGTAAATAGAATCTAAAATCTCGTTAATTTTTTTCATTGGAAAATTCTGTCATCTGCTAAAAGTACTTCCTTATATAAGAGACAAATAACCGAAGTACGTGATAAAAAAATAGTTAAAATTAGTTAAGAACAATTAATGTAAAAGTATAATTTTTTTTTCCAAAATGCCCTCATTAATAAGGAGAGAGAGCATGAGAGCGAACAATTAAATTATTAAAAGAAAGAGAAGTGAGAGAGAGAGAGTGTGAGTTGGAGATAATAAATATGGGTAAAATAGGAAATCAACAGAGACAATTTTAAGTGTCTCTTATATATAGAAACATGCCATAAACATCAATGTCTCTAATAGGAACGGAAGGAGTATTTCACACCCTAGACAAAAATAAAAAATTGTAAATCTGATCTAACATTCAACTAAAATTTGTTTTCCAGAGCTCATGGATTATCACTTGATACTTCACATCACTCATTTTAATCAGCTAGCAGAGCCTTCCCAAAAATCATACAAATGCAGAATGCTTATTGTACACTGGAAGCGGTGGACCTTATGATTTAGTGGTAGAAAAAATATATGTAGGAGATAAGAGTAAGATATTTGGTAGGTGCAGAGAGTGGTTTCGGGAAAATAAAATCTACTAGGCTGTATTTAAGCAAGAATCTCACTTAAATAAGCTTAATAGCCAAGCGGGAGAATCTCCTAATACTGGAAGGAATGATATTAATTCTGATATGTTAGCTTGAAATACAGCCAACATATATATAGAACTGAATTACAACAGAATAAGCATAAAAAACTGACCCATAATGCTAAAGACTCGATAAATCAGCATAACAGACTCTAATGGATT